AAATTATTATACTGATACCAGAGAATTCCATTATAATTTATCAAGCTTAATAACTAAGCTGTATTTCAATCTAAAAAATATGAAATTTTGAGCAGACTAAAGACACAACATACCTCCTTGAAATCTTGGTTTGAAAGAAGGAGATGGCATCCTAAAACTTTAAAAAAACTGAGATAGCCACTAGGGGAACATTCTTATTTTTCTATTGGTTACACATGTCATAAATAGAACTATGTATATATAAGGGACCATTTCCAAAAATGGAAAGAGGTGAGCAAGGCCACTAAGTTTCATTCAGGACATGAGCAATATCTCATAAAATAGGAGGTTCTTATTTTATATTTTATCAATATCAGTAATTTGAGTTCCTAATTTGTACAAAACTATAGAATTTGCATTTTGACATCACAAACATCAAAGTTGAACCAGTGCCGCGTTCAACATACCACGTGACTCACAAAATTTGATGTTTAAGTATAATTTTTTAATATTTACTTTTAAATTACGAAATTAAATGATATATATAATACTAAAATTTGAGTTATAATCTACAGTTTAATACCAAACTTAATGACATAAATTCATAAAATAGTAGTTGAATAAACTTTTTAATGCAAGTCAACAAACTCAATGACATGGCCTTTAACCCGAGACCCACAAGGAAAGGGTTAAAGAAGATGGCAGATGGAGTCAGCTTCAATATCTCAAAATCTTCTAAGGTGTGGAACAATACTTGAGAGAATGGTAACTATTATATTATCAGAGCAATTTCCAAACAGACAGAGTAGGTTTTCTGCTGTTGTTTATTAGGAAAAGGTGAGGGGGTTAAGAGCAACAAAATCAGTTTTATTATTCTCAAAATCTTCTATATTATTTTGAACCATATGGCTCTACAAGTAGAAAATTTTACATTTTCTAATCTGCTAGTCAGATATAAAATGCATATAGAGATATAGCAGCATCTAGAGAACAATGGTACACAGATGATAGGTAGTTGAAATCGCTAGCACACAAGAGTATAAGAAAAGCAAAATTATTGAAGGCAATTTGACCAAAAGTAATCCTTCCATCAAAAGAAGCAGCAAAACCAAACAAGTTATATTTTTGCACAGAAATAAGAAATAGTTATATTGTTAGTAAACAGCTTTATCTACAAAATGGTCAAGTAGCTTATAAACTGTATGTTGTAGGAAGTCTATTTCAGAAGCAGATGTTAAATTAGAACTAAATAGTGGCAAGGGCAAGGATAAATTAATTGCTGAAAACTGTAGTGTAGCAACAACGAAAAGTAGTTTTAAGAATAGGCTAAGTTGTTACAATTGTAATGCTAAAAGTAATAAATAAATTAATGAATTTTGAGCAGTGTTCAAAACAGAGGATTTTGATATAATGGGAATAACTGACTTTTGGTTAAATGTAGACAATTTTGTTATAGGTTATTTAATATGGATAGTGTACTAAAGAGAGTAGGAGAAGTGGCTTTATATGTAAAATGTGAGATATATGTTGTCGAATTTGAAGATATTAAAAATAGTAGCAAGGAGATTGAATCTACTTGGGTTTCTATATATACACACACACACACATAAATATACATACATATATAGCCCCAAAAGACTTTTAGTGGAAGTTTGTTACAGATCACAAGATGAAACTGATGAAATTAATGAGAAATTCCATAGTGATGAGAGATTAATAGATCCATAGAAGATCAAGAGAGTTGATCAAACTAGAAATTAGGAAGGTAAAAAGGGTTTATATAAAACAGTTTTCTGAAAATGTAAAAATTAATGTTAAATACTTCTTTAAATGCATTATTGGTAAGCAAAATGTTAGGATGGGAGTAGATCCTTTGAAGAATGATAAAAGAAGGCTCCTATCGTATGCCTGAAATCTCTGGATTGTTAAATTATACCTTTTTTCTTTCAGTTTCTACTAATGAAAATGTAAACAATATTCCTCATCCTGAAAAGATGCTAGGTGGAAACAAAATCAAACAAGACGATCACATTAATTTTGAATTTAAGAAAAACTTGGAAGTTTTAACAATGATATAGCTCCTCGGTTAGAGAATATTTTACCAAAGGTTTTGAAGGAGGTTGAGGATTGGATATGCAAGCCACTTGGAACTTTTGTTAAGTCTTTGAATAGTGGGTAGTTGCCAAAGGATTGGAAGATGGCTATTGTTACTCCTCTTTTCGAGGGAGGTGATAAAAAATTGTCCTGGTAGTTATGCCTTATTAGTCCTACATCAATGGTGGGAAAAGGTTTTGAAAGTCTGATTAAAGATGCTTTGCGAAGTCATTTAACAAGGTTTAAACATGGTTTCACTAGGGGGAAAATCTTATGAAATTCCTTGAAAAGATTACTGGATATGTAGATGAAGGTACAGGTTTATATGGATATTCAGAAAGCAATTGACAAAGTGCCAACTAAAAGGTTCGTTACAAAGAAAAATCTATGTGCAGGGAATAAGTTAGCTCACTAAACAGAAAAGTGGCTAAGCAGAAGAAAGCACAGAGTTGTCATATATGGAGTTCAGTCAAGGTGGATTAGTATCACAAGTACAGTACACCTTTGGACTCAATGTGTATAACTTTTGCCATACAATTTACATCTATGACACAGATGAAAGAATATCCAACAAATAAATCATATATGCTGCACTAACAGCACCCCTTTTTATTTTTAAACTACAACAGAATAAAAATTCTGGAAATGGCTAGCAAATGCATATAAAGAAAGATTTTGAGAAGGCTTACACCATGCAGTAGTAAGGGAAAGTTCTGCAGGAAAATTTTATTTTACAGTACTTTAGATAACTAAGTTACAACTGAATATTTTTCAAATCATAAGCAAAAGAAAGTACTAAATCTTACACATGAACTGCTGTAACATGTATTCAATCCAAAGTCAGTCATGCATGCACACACAGAGATAAATGTGAATTAATAAAAACTTTACTGAAATAATTTTCTGTTGTTATACTTAATTCTCCTTATTACATACATCATTTTATCCACACAAGCTGTGTGAATTTACTGAGCAAACAGCTATAAATATGTTTTTGAAAAATGCTATGGTAAATGCATAAATGAAAATAAGATACATGCACAGTTATATAAAAGAAAGAATTCAGTCATACTAAAACTTAAGAAATATAACAAAGTAATTAACAGAAACTATTGTAATGCTATACTATATAGGGAACTGTTATACTGTTTACACTAACTACAGTGAGAAGTTAAATTAAAAGAGGTAAAGACTAATAGTGGATTTCACATGAAAGTTTGAGTAATACACTAGAAATGAGTTTAGAAATTAAGGTGTGCAATGTGAGTGTGACTGTTATGAAAAGGTCAGGATATTCTATAAATTATTCCTATATTAAATTAACAGAAGATTGTTGAATTCACTGCCAAACTAAGAAACCTCGTTTGAGATTATATAGCCAATTTTTTTATATTTAAATTACCTTTAATTGTCTTTACATAGTTGTGTGTATATGCTAGAAAATTTAGTGATTTGAATCACAAGTTAAAGCAATGTGCATGTATTTTTTTTATGATGTATGCCAATGGAAGAATGTATATCATGTATACATAATGTACATATGCCTTTTCATATACAGATTTTGGAAACTGAACTGTGATTGGTTCAATGTAAAATTCAAACTACAATAGAGTATGATTAAAAAACAGCCTCTCCTTACCCTCATGACTTAGCTCAACATAATATGCATTTAATAATGAAAAAAAAATCTTTTGTTAGTGAAATTCTGCTAGTACTCAATGGTACCATGTACCAGAACTTTTTTTTTTAAGATGGCACTAGTACCAGGACTTAGATTTTTTTTTCCACTTTCAAAAACAGGTCCTCTTCCCCCAGCTGAGTACCTCTACTTTTTTTTTTTTTTTTGAGAATTTCACTCCTGGAGAAATCCTTATCTTGATTATATTACATCATATTTCTTTGTTGTTGTTTGTATATGAATTTGTATTATTGCAGATTTGAATACAGAGCCTAGAAAATTAGCATGAGTTCAGCATTAAACCATTTTACAGTTACTGCATTTTATTATTATTATTGAAAGTATCAAGGGTGTTAAAAGCTTACTTCCATGACTTTTTCACCAAAGCACTCAAATACTTTGATAAAATATGAAACAATTTTCATCACCAATTTAAGTAAGAAGTAAGGAATAATTAGAAAACCTTTGATAATTCAAGTTTGTAAAACCAACAATAAACCCTACTATCTTAATCCTAAAAATCCAAATAGTCTGAAGTTTATTTTTACACATACCCAATTCTTCAATATCAATCCTCTCACACAGTGGATCTGTTGGAAGCTGAAAATAAAGAATGTTTAGTGTAAAATTACTTCTTATGTATTAAAATATACAAAATATTTCTAAACATGGTACAACAGAAACTAGAAATAAATAGACTTGTCTGTTCTATAGAGTGATACAACTTTTCTTTGTGTCACTGTTCTTATTTTAATGTTTTCTTAGTTATAAGTAAATGATAAATGTTAAAATTATAAAAGTACATATTTGATAAAAATTTACAATCAAATAGTTTTAAAAAGCATTAAAACTTCAAAAATCCTTTTGGCACATTTAGTGGCACAACTGTTAAGCATTCTTTTTAGTAAAATAATTGGAATGGCACTGGTGTTTGAAATAAAGCATCTGGTTTCAACTAATAGCAACCAAACAATATTTTTAACATTAAGATAACTCTCAGCAGAACTTAACATATGAAGATTATCAATAACCCAGTCCTTGCAGTAGCAAAGGTTTTTACAAATATTGAGCATAGTGGTCTAAAATAAAAGTCATAAAGCTAGTTTACCTCAAGGAGATGTGGTTAACTCACTCCTACAGTATTAATTATTTTTGTACTTTGCATCCAGAATGATTTATTTAAAACTGCAAATAACAAAAGTTGGAACTTTCAAGATTATGCTTAAATTGTTGTAATGTGCAACAAATAGAATATTCCCATTTGACAGTTTGTTTTATATATTTGTTAACATTCAACTATCTATAAATGTATCATGCAAGAACATTACAAAAACTGTTTCATGCTAGCACACAAACATTTCAAAACAAGTTATCTGATAATACACAAACATGATATACCAACTTCAGTAATACCTTAAGTAAAAACTGAAAATTGAGTAACTGGAAGTTTATGACGCAATTTCAACTTTCTTGTATTGATGGTGTATAGCAAAAACAGGGTAAAACTGTAGGAGACAATTGAACTTGTGTTGATCTGAAAAATCAAGCTGTAGAAGTAAAGCAAAGGTGTGAGAAACTCTCTCATGGAAAAGTTATTTCACTTGTAAGGCCAAAGAAACATCTAGGTGTACCTGATCATTGATGCCAATTGTGTTCACTTCACAGTGATACACTTCACCCTGATGGACAAATGGTTCTTCCAAAATAATAATGCAATAATTTACTCTTATTGTCTAAAATTAGCTCAAAACATTACAAATATTATACTCTTAATTTCGGTCATTTTCCTAAGTCAGCATAAATCATCAATTTTCAATTAAACTAAGCACATTGGAGCAAACTTCAATGCCAATCTTGCCACAATAATTTTCTGTACACATTTAAAAAATTCTAATATGATAATTTGCTCTTCTAAACTAATTATTACAAAAAAAATACTAATACTAAACATAACTGATTTTATTCATTAAAAAGAGAGACAAGAACTGTAATGTGTGCAAAATAGTAATCACAGTCTACTTGAAAAAGAATTAATCACTGAGCATACTACTCAAATACAAGAAAACCAACCAAAAAAGTTTAATTATGCTTCATAGCATTATTATTAATAACTTGGTTTTATTAGACCAAATATTAATATGATTTGTTCACTTTTAAACCATAAACCACAAATAAGACTTTTCTCCTATGATAAGTTTTTTGCCAGCTCAAACATTATCCAGTTGCATGTACATTTAGTGTTTACTTTTTAATGAATACTCTTAAGTAATAGTTATGTCAGTAATATTTTACTTAAAAAATACCAACACAGATAAAACTTCATCTGTAGAAATAACTAATGAAAAAAACTCTTATTGTTAACTGTTTAAATATGTATAGTTGTGACATTACACTGAACCAACCACAAATTGTGTAGAATTTTGAAATAATGAGTTAAAATGACTCATCTTTTAAAATCATTAACTAAACCATAAACAATTATGATTAAAAAATATGTTTAAAATTTCGAAAAGAAATATAAGATGTTAAATCATGACAATGATCCTTACACCTTTTACAAAAACATCAAGAGTCACTCACAAAAAAAAACAACGAAAAGTCACTTCATCTCCAACCTCAGTCTTAACATTCTTACCATAACACAAAGCCAATACCTTTGTTATCCATCTCCAAACCTAGCCCTACCCAAAGAGCTACTTCAAACCACTTTCAGTCTTTCCAAACTCTTAATAGCAACAATTTTAATGTTGACTTCTTATAGTTTAAAATTACATTAATATAAATACACCTCTATGATAGATTGTTTGGGGTAAGAATTCATGATGAAACTTTGTAGAATGGACAGCAACTGCCTGTTGTAGACACGCAAGTGTAGAAGATGACATTTCAAAAGTCTTCCACCTTTTGTCTTCAGGTCAGTGTGTGTAAGGTGTTGTCGGGATTTATAGTATTCTGGTGGACTGTGGAGAGCATGTTATGATTGGTTAGTTTATCCCTGTTTCTGATTGGAGGAGAGATTTCCTGTGGATTCAATTAATGGTAACCACAGGTTACTCACCTCTAATCCAAAATATCTGTTTAGTGAAAGTTTAGTTGTGTTAACATAAAATTTTGGAAGACAAGAAATATTAAAGAATCATTTTAGTGAAGGTTTATTGTGTTAATATAAAATTTTGGAAGACAAGAATAATTAAAGATTTATTACAGAACACTTCCCTTGTTTCTTGATTGAATCTGCCATTATTTTCCGATTTGACAATCTCGTACTTTTGGGGAAATTAGTTTTACCTGAAAATATCACATGTAGATAAGGAGAAAGTATGGTGCTGTGCCATCAGTTTGTTGCAAAGTTTCTCAAACAATAATATGCGTACTAGCCCTTGCTTGATGTTTCAAGTCATGTTTCTAATGAAAAGAATGTCATTTTCTGTACATGTGACAGAGAGAGAGAGAGTTTAAGAGCTGTGAGAGATGATTATATGGGAGAGGTGTTGAGTGTAGGAGAAGTCCTCTCCTGGACATAGGACTTGCTGATAATCCAAAAGTCCACAACATTGTTACTTGTGCAACCCTCGACTCAGGAAGACCTAGTACATACAGACCATTCAATCAGACAGTACCCCTTAGGATCAATCTTGATGGAAAGGAAGCACAGACAACTGAGATTCATTGAAATGATTTGGCATCTAGAGTGCTCAGGACCAAATGGGGAAGTTTCTAATGAAGTCCAAGGCCTGTGCCAGTCAGAGCACAGCAGCCCCAATTCTGGTTGAGACCACTTGTAAGTAGTGGAGAGAGGTTGGATGTGCCACTGATAGATGATTTAAGCCAGTCAGAGTTGTCTCTGGTATATGAGGCAATGGGCAACCATACTTGAAGACTATGATCCATGGAGTGAGGTATCTTTCAGGGTGGAACGGTTCTCCATTATGTTTGCAACAGCTTGCAAAACCTGATGTCATGCAGGGCTATATGATGAACCACTTAGTATCTTGTCATCCTGAACTAAGGAATGACTACCACCTGTTTGGAGATCCTGTAAATAGCTTCAACTCAGAACACAAGAAACTGGTGGCATTTCCTCCTGTGTCACCCATCAAAACTATAAGATATCTTAACATAGCACACATGGTGTTACGAGTAAAACAAAGCAGATCTGCCTCAAATGTTCAAGGGAATAGCAAAAGAAAATCTGGTTCAGTTTGCAAAACGTAAGGAGCAGGCAGCATAATGTCTGATGCTGAGTTTAGACAGCATTACACTTGATGCTGTCAACACCTGGATGAGAAGCAGCAAGCAGCCTGAGAAACCATGGTGTACAAGCTACATCACAAATTCAAACACATTAGACAATTTGGCAAATCATCCAGCCAAGCTTACAATAATGAATAGTATCAGAATTTAAGGGACTGTTCATCTATGTGGACAACTTGCATGAATCACACAGAAAGGTATATTTGGCAATAGACTCAGCAGATTGAGCAGACATCCCAATTAATAACTATACTTAGGGACTTCCTAATGAGCTTGTTCAACACCACCTAGGACATCACTTTCACAGAAGCCATGTCTGTCATGCTACACTTTGAAGTGGTCACTTTAAACTGGCTATTGGAGAAGAAGAAACTTACAGCAAAAGCTGTAGTGGTAATTTCATTGACAGATAGTGCGAATCAGGTGTCTCCATAGTTTTGGCCTAAACCCAACTGGAGGGTTAACAACAAGCTACCTCTACATGACAGAAATGTGTGGCAGCCACTGTGTGGTCTCCAATGAGTGGGCAGGGCTATGCAGCAAGGTCCATCAGTAGGATACGTGCTACGATAGGAAGAACGTGGCGTTTGCTTCACTTGTGGAACGGGGCTTGTTTACATGAAAGCCAGACGGTGGGCTAGAGATAAGGCAGGGTTGGAGAGTTTGGTTCCCCACTGTCCAGTAGCACCAACGAAGGGCGGCACAGCCACAGGTAAATAGTTGGATGAAAACACGAGTTCTTGATTTCCTTGGGCACGTTATTTTCATTTGAATACCGACTTTCAGTATTTAAGATCAAGTCCTGGCCACAGTCAGTCTCATTTCAACTTTGAATTTTGGTCTGATCTGTTCCAATCCTTCTCCTGTTTATTTAAATTAAAGCGTTTCCTCAACGTCTTTCACAGCGTTGATAAAGATAAGCTGAAATATGTTAAGTGGGCTGGTATAAACACAGCTTAAGACTTGAAAAACATGACCCACCATATGTAGTGTTCATCCCAAACGATGTGCCTCAGGACGGCTAAATTAATCCGTTTTTAATAGGTATGCAAATAAAACTAGACTGACCAAGAAAACAATATTTAAACTTCCCAAATTTAGAGCTTTTGCAAACATAATTTCTGTAAATTGTAAACAATTCTTAAATACATCACAAGACTGGACCTACAGTAATGGAATTAAACTCACCATTAATAACTGTAATATGAATTTGTAAAACAAATTATGAAAGTACTTTAGAAAGTATACTATGCTAAATATGTCAAGCTTGAGAAAGTTTATACGATTAACTTGAAGTACTGATTAAAATTAAATATTTAACATTATCAAATATAAATTCAGTTACA